ACAGGTTGTCAAACTGGATCTAATACTAATTGTATTTTAACTCTATCTAGTGCTTGGACTAAAGCTACTTTTGATGGAGTTGCACCAACAACTGATGCTTTCTGTATAACTTAATCAACTAAGCTTAAAGACATTTTCTGTATCAAAGATGGTGCTGACGCAACTAAATGTAAAGCAGGAACTTGTGAAGACATCCCATCTCCAAATAAACAAGGAGATTGTGATATACATATAATTGGATGTGTATTTTCAGCAACAAAATGTAGAACACCTAGACTTGCTGCATTAGCAAATGCAGGAGATTGTGCAGATCCATCAATAGTTCCATTTTCAGATGTTGCTAGTCTTGCTCCAAATCTCAAAACATAATATTGTTAAATATTTTCAAAAGATGGATCAAGTCATTATTGTACTTACGATGAGTATAATGATACAACATAAACAGCTTGTACTGAAGCAGGTGATTGTGATTCATACACATTACCATAGAGCGATGCAGAAAAAAGAACATATTGTTTGAGCAAAAGAAATGTTTCAGGTGGAAAATGCGGATTTACATCTGGAGACACTAAATGTAGAAATTATGATTGCTAAGATATTGAAAGTCCAACATCATAAGTTGATTGTGATATTTTATCAAATCGATTAAGATGCGTTTATTTTAGAGGAACTTGTGTCAAAGATGATGCAAATTGTGTAAATATTCCTGCTTCTGGATCTACATCAAGCGATAAGAAATTCTACTGCGAAAACATCATACTAGTAAATAAAACTAAATGTACTTATGCTATTGGTGATTATTGTGCTAAATTAGATAGTTGTGATACTTATGATGTGAAAGACGCCACTGACAAAGCTGCTATTTGTACAACATTAACAGATGGAACGGATAAATGTACATATATTACAGGTGATAATTGTGTAAAATTGGATGCATGTGCTAACTACGCACCTGCATCTGGCTAAGAGGAAACTGAATGTAAAGCAGTTAAATCAACTGACGATTATCCATGCATAATAGATACTACTGCTTCTTAGAAATGCAAAGCATAAGTTTGTACTGATAATGATGCCAGTGCTACAGATTGTGCTAATAATGCTGAAGACTGTCTCTATTATTCTAATAAATGTATTAATAAGAGTGCTTGTGGCAGTTATTCCCCATAAGGTGATGATGACACAGCCAAATAAATCTGGTGTGAAGGAGTTTAGAATTTATCAGGAGATTTTTGTACTTGGGATGCAGCAAATTCAAAATGCAAAGACAGAGCATGTAGTGATAAGTTATTCTATACAGATTTCGATTGTTCAAGTTATCTTAAATCTTGCAAGACAGACGGAACTAAATGTGTTGCTATAACTACTGCATGTACTTCATTTTATGGTTCAACTGAATTTTGCAATTCTTTATTAGATACAACAGGAAAAGATAAATGCAGACCACTTGCAACTCCTACTACTACATCCTCCGCATGTGCAATTAAAACATGTTATGATAATGTTACAGCTACATCAGATTCTGATTGCGAAACTTATTTAAGTGGATGTGTCACTCGTGGCATAGGATGTATTCCAAATACAGCATAATGCGATTAATATAGAGGAACTAAATAATAATGTGAATTATTCAAAAGATATACTGGAGTAGATACTAACAAAAATCCAACTTATGAATATTGTTCTGGTGATGCTGGAAATACTGCCACTAGTAAATGTAAAGTAAGAACTTGTGCAGATAACACTACAGCTATTTCAGATACTGAATGTGCTAGTTTTTTGAAAGGTTGTATTACCAAAGGTACTGGATGTCTTGATGCAACATCAACATGTGCTGCATTTAAGGGAGATTAAGCAACTTGTGCTAAATTCTTTGGATCTTCAGGTAAAGATTATTGCTGGAATACTTCGACTGCATTGGCTACAGCTAATTGTGCAAAGAAGAAGTGCAGTGATATTTCAGGTAAAAACAACAAAGAATGTAATGATGGTATGCCACCATTTAAAACAACAGATGATCCTTTCTGTGTCTTCGATGGAACTTCATGCATTGATTATGGAAAGAATTGCAACACATTCAATGGAACTGAAGAGACATGCCCAACATATTTGGCTAAAGATGGCCCATGCAAAGCTACTACAGTTGGAACTATCAAAGGAGCATGTGCTAAGAGAGTATGTACAGAAGCACCAAATAATCTTACAACTGATGCTGATTGCTAGAAATATCATAAAGATTGTTATACAACTGGTTATGGATGCTCAAGTATTAAGAAATGTGAAAACTTAACATCATAAGCTTCATGTAAATTAAGAGAAGAATGCACATGGGCTAACTAATGTTCAACTTCTAGTACATCATGCGCCACTTTTAATAATACTAATTATTCATAATGTACTAATTCTAAAGTAAATGGTAAGTTCTGTGCTTGGTAAGAATCTAATTCAACATGCAGAGCTTAGGTCTGTGAAGATTAATCAGCGACAATTGCTTCTCATGCTTAATGTTAAAGTTTTGCTGACAATTGTACTACAACTGGAGCTGGCTGTATCACTATTTCAGTATGTTCCTCATACAAGACTTAATCTATATGTTTAGCTGCCGCAACAACTAAAGATGGAGTAGGTAGATGCGGTTGGGATACTATTACAAATAAATGCAGAGCTAGAGTTTGCAGTGATAAAAATGGCTTAACTGATGATGAATGTAATACTTTTCTTTCAGGATGTAAAACAAATGGATAAGGTTGTGTGGCTGGAGCTTCATGTACAGAATTCTCTAATAAGTAATTCTGTCTTCAATCTAAAGCTGGACCATGTCTATGGGTTAATGGATAATGTTATGATTATGACAGATGTGAAGATGCAGTGAAAAAGACACATTCTGAATGCTAAGCATTTTCACCATTATGTACAACCAATGGAGATACTTGCATACCTATAACATCTTGTGCCAGTACTACATTAAAGGCTTCTTGCGTTGTAGGAACTGATGGAGCTTGTGGATGGTTACCCACTGGAAAATGCTAGAAATTCGGATAATGCACAGATGCTGTTGCTGCTACTAATGATGAATGTGTCTCTTATGGACCTAATTGTATGACTGATGGAACAGCATGTATTGCTAAATCAACTTGTGGTAGCTACAAGACATAAACAGCATGTAATAACAATGGAACAGATGGTATTTGTTATTGGAATGCCACAGCTAATACTTGCAAATTGAAGGAGTGTAGTGATGAGCAAAAGGGTACAAATGATCAATGCAAACTTATTTCTGTCACTGGAGGATCATGCACAACCGATGGAACCAAATGTATTCCATTATCAACATGTTCAAGCTATGTTGAAGCTGGATGTTTCAATGGAACTGATGGAGAATGCATATTTGCATTACCAGTTGGAGCTACTACAGGAACTAAGACATGCAGATTAAAATAATGTGAAGATATTACTGGTGGAACATCAAATGCTAACTGTATGGGAGTAATCACTGGAAAATAATGTGTATCCAATGGAACAAGTTGTATAGCCAAAGCTGCTTGCTCATCTTATAAGAATATTACTTCTTGTAATGGAGGTGGCTTTGAAAATAATAAATCTACTGTTTGTGCATTCACTCCAACTGGAACTGACAAGGTCAATGGAACTTGCAAGACATTTACCGCATGTCCTGATGCCAACAAAGATAAACTTGCTTGCACAACTAATCCATATTGCAAATGGACTGAAAACTCAACAGGAACATCTTGTACTAATCATACATGCGATACTTTCGCCACAGGAACTGACTGCAGACCAATTCCAAGCTTTGATGGAACTTCATCAACTGTTTGTGTTCTCTAAAGTGGAAAATGTGCTGCTGCTGATCCAGGAACCATGACAGATTCCAAGATTTGCTACACTAAATCTGCTTATACTTATAGTTGGAATGCTGCTACCAATAAATGTGAAAGTTGTATTTCAGGATCTGTCAATCCAAATAATTCAAATGGAACAAATAATTAAACAGATAATGGAACAACAACTACCGACAGAGCCTTCATCTTGTCAGCTATTTCTTTCGGTATTTTGGGATTAATGGCATGATTTTGATTTTCATTTTATATAGGGAAAATATTAATATTACAAGTTATTTTTATCTCTTAATAGAGGTGTTTTTAGTAGATATTAAATTCGTAAAATTAATACTTTTTATTTAGATTAATGCTATTATTTTATGTTCTCTTAAAACTTCTATGGAAATATTTGAAGTTTTAATAATAATTAAACTTTTCCTCATTCCTCAGAGTAATTGATTATTTTTTGTAATTTAATAGCTCTCTATAAATTATTTTGTAACCTAAAAGAACTTTAAGATGATTAGGAATATGTTAAGAGTATAGAAGGTAGAATTCTATGTCATAAGCTTGCTAAATTCATTATAAATTATTTTAGGATTTTCCATATTCTTCTAAGGAAGTCAGTATGTGATAATTTTAGGCCTATTCAGTTAATTTGAAACTTTATAGATGTATATATCATCACTCTGGTAAATAAAGATGCTTAAAGATAACCAGATTGAAAATGTGATGAAGAAGAATAAATTAAATAAAGTAAAATTTTGAACAGTTAAGGCTTCTTAAGAATAAGAAATCTTAGAACAATATTAGAAATCCATAAAAATTAACTAATATGGAGATTATCTTAATATTTTAAATTTTAATCTATGTTTATATATTTAGTTTATTAAAACTAGAATTAAAAGTATGGAAAAACATAAAATTAAAGATTAAAATATTTATAAACGAAATTATAAATTTCAAAAATTAAATACCCGAAAGACATCTTAAATAAAAATTTAGGAAATCAAAATCTCTAGAATATCTAAGAAAGCAAATTCATCAAAATTGGAATCAGAAATTTGTAAATAATGTATTTGATAGACTTTAAACTTAATAGTAGCATTATGATAATCGAATCATGTTTTAACATTTTGTATTATTATTGCAAAAATAATTATAATGGATCAGAATCAACCTTTAATATAATAGAAAGAGACATTTAAATTTAAATTTTATAACACTTTGGAAAAATATTATTATATTAAAACCATTTATTCTTTTATTATTGAATTTGATGAGATTGAATTAACAAGAATTCATTTAGGCTAACTTTTGGTCTTTGTTAAATCTTTAGATTAAAAAGTTTAACAATTATAGTTGTCAAAAATAGAGCATGAATACTTAGATTTGAATAAAATTTGGTTGAAATTCAATGATTAAAATGAAGCTTTTAACTGTAAATATTCAAAAATAAATAATCCTATACATTTCTTTGGTTATCAATGTAAAAATGATGAAATCAACTAATTATTATAAAATATTTTATCAATAACTGTTTTGATAAATAATACTAACATAACTCAAAGATAAAGATGATGTAAAAAAATTATTCTTGAGGCTAAAATAAATGAAATGTAATAAACAATTAGATTAACTAATAAACTAATAAATAATTTCTTAAGAAATATTTACATGATAAAAGAGAAATAAATCATTTCTATTTTATGAATATGCTGATAAAATAAATGAGAAAAGGCATGAAGGGAAAGTAGGATATAGTAATGACATAAAAATTTATGTAAACGACATAAAAAATGGAAAAAACTCTACTTAATATATTTAAATTAGAATATTGCTCATATTCAAGCCTTCTTTCAATAGTTAAACACCTCAATAATTGTAAAGGATATTAAAATATTTAGCATGAAGTGGATTAGACTAAAATTGCTACTGAATAAATTTAATCTTACATTTATTAGATTTAAAAATTTAATTGATGAATAAGTTTAATAAGCTATACAAGAATACATTACTTATATTTCATAATTAAAAATAATTTCAATATCATTAGGAAGATATTACAAAAATAATTTCGCCTATAATCTACAACCATGCAATTATTAGATATTTTTACAATACTTATACATATAATTTTAAGAATACTTTCAAATTAAATATTGATAATTAAGATACTTACAAATCTAATGCTAATAAACTTTATGAAGTAATGTAAAAGCTATTGAAAAAATAATACCCGCTTTATGATTAATGTAAAGAATAACAACAATAAATTTATTATTAATACTTTTATTAAATTCAATTTATGTACATCTCCTTAAAGCGTAAATCACAATAGTTCAAAGTCGGTAAAACTTACTTTTCCGACATTTATTAGATTAAGTGTTTTGGAAAATTAATTCTTGAATGAGTATTTCATTAAAGTTTAAGTGGAAGAATAAGAATAAGAACTTTCTTAACATAAAAAAATATTAAACTTAAAATTGATATAATATTATTGTTTTATTTATCAAATTGAATAGTATCTTCAAGATTGAAAGAAGTTTATGACCAGTAAAAGAAGTACTATTTTTATTGTAAAATCTTATCTTAGTAACAAGTTAGTCAGGAAACTTAATTACCTTTAGGTAAAGAGTTAATCTCTTAGTCTTAATTTAAATAATAAATTAAATAATTATTAATAACCAATCTATACAGATTAGGCATAATCATTTAAAATTTCTGTCTCTGTAATTCTATCATGTCCAACAACGAAAATTTATTAATCAGCTAATTGGTTGTCCACGTCCCATATTCTGATCCTAACTGTATTTATTTCATATGTTTGTAAAAACTCAACTATTATAGAGACATGTAATTCAATGTTGATATGTCCAACATAGTATTCTATATATGTATAATAGTAAAAATTATCCCTTAAAGAACTTGCAAAAGAGTCTGCATACTTTCGATTTCATGGAATTTATCTTAAACGAATTTCAAATAAATCAAAAATTTATTGCTTTAAATATCTTTTGAATTACATCAATTCTTAAAACATCTATGTTATTAATTTTCGAGTATAATTAAAAGGTTTTAACTACTCTAGCAGTCTTTTTAATAAAAAACATAGGCTTAATACTTGAATCATTAAAAATCTCTTGTTTATCATATCTAATATTTTTTGATTGCCTTTTAATTTAATTAAGTTATTAAAAATTTAAGCCTTATTTTCAGCATTAACTTAGATATGAAATTCTATTATTCATTATAATTATAATTGATAAACCAGGCTTAAAATAATATTATTGTTGTATTTCTTATAAAACTATTGCAATAAATATTTACCATCAATTTCTAAGGTTCCTTTAATTTAAGAATATTTCAACTTAATTCTTATTCTTTTGGCAATGTATGAATGATAGCCTTAATAATTGTGAGTATTATTGTTTGAATAAAATCTTATTTCAAAGTCTCAGCATAAACCTCTCTAATTAACAGTGTTTAATAAAAATATGTTATATAAACTAGGATATAACTATTAATCATTGTGATGCTTATTGATAGTATAATTATTGTATACATTTCCTTACTTAGAGAAAACCCAAATAGACTGTAAAAATAAGATATTTTATGATAATATTACAGCTCAATCTGATTCTGATACTTATTTAAAAGGATGTGTTGCTACTTGTGTTACTAAAACCTTCTTTACTGAATACTTTAAATTACATTGATTATTATTGAGCAGCTTGAAATGAAAATCTCATTTATCAGAAAATGTTTTAAGTCCTCAAATTCTACAATTGATTTAAGGAAGCAAATGACGCTTATCATCTTGGAATCTAATTTACTTGAGTCTGCAGAAATTGAGTGAAAATGTTCTTTGTATACCTTTCAGATATTAGAGTGTGAAATAACAATAAATAATAAAAATTCTATATAATAGGGCATAAAATTGGATGGATAAATGATGAAATATCAAGGATTGAAATAAGAAAAAATTTTGTTGATAATTGATGAAAAAAGTGACAGTGAATCATCTAATGAAATTAATTTACTCTAATTTTATCAATCTTTGGTTTTATATAAAAATACATTATATGAATAAGTTTTTTAAGGTGTTTCAAATATACTAGGTTGTAATATAGTATTGAATTTCAAGAATATTGCTTAATTAATAGAATTCTGAAATAGTGATTTTGAATGTCGATGAGCTATATATTCATATTTTGCTTCAAATTTGCATGATTTTGCAGTGTATAACAAAGAATTTGTATGTATTAAAAAATTATTTTATAAAAATAGATTGAGTCTAATAAAATTAATGATATCACAAGAAAATACCTTTAAGAATACAATAGGTTTAAAAGAATTTGGGCCATAACAAGCTTCCATTAATAATTTTCCTAAACTGATAAATTATATCAAACTTTAGAGATAAATCAAATAATAATATTTTCAAAGGCTGATCTAAGAAGATCGATTCCAATAAAATTTTTTCAAAAAGAAAAAATAATAAAATATTCATATTGGGACAATTTTAAACCAATATTTTTAAGTCAAAAAGAAAATTAAAACAAAAAATAAAAGCAACAAAAATGCTTAATAAGATTTTTTAAGTGATATTTTGAAAAATAAATTAGAAATGAATGATTAAGAAGCCAAGAAAAACGCTGCTAATAATGGTAGTTATTTTAATAATTGTATATATAAAAATTATTTTTTTAGTTGATGCTTTAGATTAAATGTAAAGATGTGAGGAAGCATTAAATTCGGATGAGCCAAATTCTAAATATTATCATAACGAAGGTAATCTTCTTTTAATAATCTATATTTTAAGCGATTGCTTTATATAAAATGAAAAGGTTTTAGGATGCATTAAATTATTTTGATTTAGCGATTTAAAAAAATCCAAAATCTTCAGACCATTATTATGGCAAAGGTAAATTTGAAAATACATAACTTTGTAGCAGAAACATTACAAAAAATGCTAAGATTTGAAGATGCATTGAAAAATTACAATCAAGCTATTCATATAAACCCTGATAAATCAGAATACTATAATAGCAAAGGTAGAATGTAACATGTATATCTGTGTAGCGGTGACTTTAAGGCAGATGAACAGATTTGAAGAAGCTTTGTAAATTTATGATTAAGCTATTAATATAAATCCTGATTTATCAGAATATTATTATAACAAAGGTAAAATGTAAAATCCATAATTGTGTAGCTGTAACTTTAAGAGTTATGGATAGATTTGATCAATCATTGGAACATTATGATTTAGCTATAGAAAGAAACCCAAAAATTTCTGATTATTATAATGGCAAAGGTAGAAATAAACCATATATTATTATATAGCAATAACTTTAAGACAAATTAATGTATATGATAAGGCATTGGATAATCATGATTTAGCTATAAAAATAAACCCAGAAAATTCGGAATTTTATAGGAGCAAAGGTAGATAATAAAATTATATTGTGCAGCTATAACATTAGAAAAAATAAGTATGTATGAAGAAGCATTGAAATTTTATGATCTAGCTATACAGAAAAATCCTGAAAATTCAGATTATTATGATGGCAGAGGTAAAAATTTAATGGTATATTGTGAAGCGTAAACTTTAAAGCAAATGAATAGATATTAGGAAGCATTAAAATCGTATGATTAAGCAATACAAAATAACCCTGAAAAGTCAGATTATTATAACAGCAAAGGTAATTCAGATTATAGATTATTTGTACAGCAATAATTTTAAGGCTATTGAAAAGGAATAAAGAAGCTTTGGAATATCACAATTCAGCTATAGAGAAAAATCCAGAAAATTCAGAGTATTATAATGGCAAAGGTAAAAAGTATTATGTCATGTTGTTAAGCAACAACTTTAAGGATGTTGAATAGATATGAAGAAGCTTTGGAATACTTTGATTTCGCTATTCAGAAGAACCCAGAAAATGCAACTTATTACTATCACAAAGGTATTTTGATAATTACAAATTGATAGCTGATACTCTAGATATAATGAATAGATCCTAACAAGCATTAGAATATTATGATTTAGCTATCTAGAGAAACCCTGAAGATTCCGATTTTTATAATGGAAAAGGTAAAAAGTAAATGAATATGTATAGCAATTTCTTTAAATCAAATGTGTAGATATTAAGAGGCTTTATTATATTATGACTTAGCTATTCAAAAAAACATTTAAAAAGCAGAATATAGTAATAACAAAGGTAGAAAGTAGCAATAATTTTTGTGTAGCATTAACTTTAAGGAAAATGAATAGATATGAAGAGGCTTTAGCATGTTTGAATTATGCAATTTAACAAAATCCTGAAAATTCAACTTATTACTATCACATAGGTATTTTCATAATTGCATATGATAGCTGATATTCTAGAAACTATGAATAGATATTAACAAGCGCTGGAATATTATGATTTAGCTATAGAGAAAAACCCTGAAGATTCTGATTTTTATAATGGCAAAGGTAAAAAGTAAATTGAATTTTTGGTAGGATTAACGTTAAGGAGTATGAATAAATATGAAGAAGCATTAGAATGTTTTAATTAAGCAATAAAAAAAAATCCTGAAATAGAAATTTCTTACTATAACAAAGGTATTATCATTATTGAAAACTTATAGCTATTGTTTTATAATAAATGAATAGATATGAATAAGCATTGTAATATTATGATTTAGCTATAGAGAAAAACCCTGAAGATTCTGATTTTTATAATGGCAAAGGTAAAAAGTAAATTGCAATATGAATAGCATTTACTTTAACTCAGTTATAAAGATATGAATAAGCTTTATTTTATTATGATTTAGCTATTTAAAAAAATTGTGAAAAATCAGAATATTTCAATAATGCAGGTAAAAAGTAAAGTTATTTGTGTAGCATTTACTTTAAGATAATTGAGTAGATATATAGAAGCATTGGAGTATTATGATTTAGCTATAGAGAGAAGCCCAGAAAATTCAGATTATTATAATGGCAAAGGTAAAACTAACTTATTATTCTGTAGCATTAACTTTAAGATAATTGAGTAGATACAAAGAAGCATTGGAGTATTATGATTTAGCTATATAGAAAAACCCAGAAAATTCAGATTATTATTTTGGCAAAGGTAAAAGTTATTATGCATTTTTGTGTAGCAATAATTTTAAGGCATATGTGTAAATATGAAGAAGCATTGGAATATTGTGATTCAGCTATCGAAAAATATCCATAAAATTCTGATTATTAATATGGCAAAGGTAAAAATGAAATTTGGATTTTTTCTAGCATTAACTTTAAAGCTAATGTGTAATTATGAAGAAGCACTGGAATATTTTGATTCAGCTATAGAGAAAAACCCTTACAAATTAGAATATTATAATTACAGAGGTAAAATTAAGGATGCATAGTTTTTAGCATAAACTTTACATTAAATGAATAGGTTTGAAGAAGCTTAAGAATGCTACATTAAAATGAAAAACCTAGAATAAAAAAAAAAAATAGGTTGATAGATTAGCAGTTATGATATCAATTAAATCCATTTTACCTAAGATAGAAAATACTATCCTATTAATATTTATATTCAAAAAATAATGTTATATAACACTTTTTGACATTTTTGTTTTTAAAATTTCTGTTCATTATTGAATTATTGTTTACAAACAATAATTCAATTTTAACAACAATCAAAATTTGAAGACTATATTATTACTAAATAAATCAAAACTTTAAGTTCTGTGGGATGTAAAGTGCCCACTACATAGTTATAGGATGACATAATATTCTTTGTTACATTTATATAAAATATTAGACAGCTCAATAAAATTATTTGAATTAACTATCATTTAATAGGCAAAAAAATAATTATGGAAAATATACTGTTATTGAAAAATTCTCCTTAAATTCAATAGGAATTAAAATTCAGGAGCATTGATAATATAATAATTTACTTGGGTTATCCGAAATATTAAATTTAAATTCTGTAATTCAAATCACTCTAATATTCTATTCTATATGTTGATAGAGAAGTCAATAATATATATTACATTTTATGACGACTTATAGATATACTAAATGAAGATCATTCTTGAAACTCCTTCTGTGTTATTTGAGGCTGCAAAATAAGAATTAACTTTATATTATATAGAAATGATGCTATGATATATTCTATGGTAATTTTATCAAGTTTGCTTTGCTAAGAGATCAATTATGTTCTTGCGCTTATTAGATTTATTCTATCTTTTATTTAGTATTTCTTATGAATTATTAAATATCATGATACTAATAGAAATTAATTTAATCACTTAGGATGAATAATACTAAGAAATTATTAAATCTGAGCTGAAAATTCACAATTTTATTAAATATGATTATCATCAGGTTTGTCTAATAAAATATAATGAATATGTAATAGTGTTAGTGTTTAGAATATCAAAACAATAATTGAATCACTTCATGTAGTTTTGATAAATTTATTTATTTATATATCATTTAAAATTAACTGTCAATGAATTCATTTGTCCCATGAGGTCGACACTCTGGGTATAGTTACAATAATGGCCGAGTCCATTAAATCAAGTTGTCAATTTGGAGTAAAACATGCACATAGATAGGCCTCCACTCTAATTAGGTGTTAAATAGTTTAAGTTGTATTATATTGGATAAATAAATCTACAGAATTGATCAATGAACTTGTTTTGAACAATTTCATTGAATATATCACATACCCATTAATGATCTCCTAATTACCTGATTACCATAAGTTAACAGTGTCTTGTTCCAGTTTCTGATTTATTTTTGTAACCTATAAATTGACTACCTGTTAAGAACAAATTCCAAAGCTTCTCTCCTTAAACTAATGTTTCATATTTAACTATAGATTAATCATCCCTATTTTAGATGTCATAAATTTACCATAATTTAGGGTTGTTATTCTTTGCATCTGCATAACCATTTTCTAAATGAATTCTTCATGAGATGAGATCGGCTCTTTTGTTAAAGTATTACTCCCTTGTTTATCCTATCTAACGAGATATAATTTATTCCCTTTGATAATTAATGTATATGGTTAGTATTTATATCTAGAAGGGCTTGTCATTGTACCTTGAGGATTAGTTGAGAATAAAATCGTAATCACTAAAAATAAATATTATTAGTCTTTACCACACATTGCGATCGACCTACTTTTGCCTATGTAATTTATATGCAAATTTATTTCCCAAGAATAATTAAATTGGATTATATACTATTTTTGAGACCTATCATATTTAATTTAAATCTATTTTGTTATTTGTAATTATCTTGATATGCATTTTAATATGATTTTGTAATATGCTAATTGCTTTTGCTTTAAAATAGGTTAATAAAATACCAGATATTTAGAAAAAAGATGAATATATATTTAGCTATAGATGTAATTTAATTGTATTTCAATTAAAAATAGCAATTTCCTTGTATATTGTTTTCTATTATTGAATTTTCATAATATTTTAGATGGAATCATAATTTAATTTTAATCTAGAATAGATAATCAAATAATAGTTATTAAAAGTTATTTTAATGGCATCTTGTACTATAAGGTATAGTATGTGTAGATTTTGGTTGATTCTATTAACAGATCCTTATTGTTATGACTAATTTATATCTTAAAATTGAGAATTATAATAAAATTGAATATTCTTTATCAAAGATTTAATACTTTATATGTATAAATAATAAAACGATTACATTTAAAGATTGGGTTTGAAAGTTGTTATGAAATAATCAAGGAGAAGCAAATTAAGATTTTTTGTTCATATTGAAGGCCATTAAACTCCGAATTAGTTGTAAAATAATTGAAACAGAAGTAATCTTCTATTAAGGTTAAACAATCAAAAATCGCTAATTTCCTTTATCCATCCATAATTTTTGACATTACCTAATTAATAAAAATAAATTTCATTTAAATTTGAAATTCATCAAAGATCCTAATAACCCATATTTACTTTAATGAGTCAATTGAAGGAATCCTAAAATGTTAAAAAAAATGATCAATTATGGTAGTTAAGTGATAAAAAAAATAAAGTAAAAAATGAATATCGTGATTAACAAGTTCTGATTCTGGCATGTGCTGAAGACATATCTGTTTTAAGTAATTCCTCAATCATTAATGAATTACCAATCTTCTTTGAAGATGGCTGAAAATTTTAACTTCATCGAAATTCTAAAATAAAATTTAAATTTTATCTAAATCAATCAAATACCTTCACTGGTTTGGAATGGTAAAAAGAATAAAGGAGCTCAAATAATTATGGGATATGTGTTCATAATAAAAGGGACCCCACATAAAATTGATCAAATGTTATATTTGTTGTAAATTTTATTACAAGTAATTGAAAGAAAATTCTTCCTTAATGCTCAAAACTCAATTTTGTAATACTTTAATGCAGATAAACCGTGAATATATTCTTTGCTTATGGGATTACTTAAGACTTTACCAAATTCTTTGATTGATCAAACAATAAAAACAGAGAAACTATTGATCGTTTTCTGCATGATCTATTAGAATACTCCACTAGATTGAGTAAATATGAAATAACATAAGTTTAATATAAATAGCAACGATTTTTATATTAAAAAGAAAGAAGATTAACAAGTAAGTTGTAAGCTAATATAATAAAAAAGGTCATAACTGTACATTTCCCATTAATATGTTTAGTAGTAATTAATTTTAGCTGATCAATATTAGATGTTATTTAATAAAAAATTGTAATATACAAAATTGAATAATATAGTAATAGACCTTTAATCCAATTCCTTATTAGATCAAAACCATTAAAAATCTGATATTGGTTCAATTAATAATACCAATGAAGTGTCAAGTAATAGATAACACCAGAAGTTAGGATTAAAGAATTTTTGAAATTCCTAGTTCTTATTACTAAGATAGATAATAATTTTATAAGTGATCTAATATATAAAATATATTTATATTTAGCGAGATATGAGGGCTATATAATAAATCATACTCAAGAATCATAGATATGTTATTAACAAACAAGAAGAAAATGATTGTAATTTTAAATGTGTAATATTTTTTTTATAAACTTTTTCTCAATTTTATAACTCTTACAAATGATTTTCCAAAAAAAGACTACCTTTAAATTTTAAATATGATCTTAAATCTAGTCCTTAATAATTAAAGAATTCTCCTTTGTAAATTAAAGCACCCCAAGCCTAAAATATTGGTATTTTAGAAATGCGCAGAATAGTTACATTATTTACTATAAAATATTAAAAAAGAATTACCTCGAAATTTTTTTTATAATTCAAGCAAATTCAATTTTACCTTTACTTCCTATCCATTTTAATCTGACTCTTCAATTTCAATGATATCTTTCACATCCCATAAACGAACAGACATATCATCACTGCAAGATGCTAACACAGCACCATTAGGAGAGAAGCACACTGAATTGATACAATTATAATGGCCTTTCAATGAGGCCCTTAGTTCTTATCTCTTAACATCCCATATATTGATATCTTGATCTAAACTACCAGAGGCCAATATAGTAGCATCAGGAGAGAAGCATAATGATCTTACCTGACGAATATGGCCAACTAACTTTGCTTTTTTTTATCCTGTCTTAACATCCCATAAAAGAATTGATTTGTCTGCACTACCGGATGCTAATATAGTATCATTAGGAGAGAAGCATACTGAATTAACACAACCATCATGACCTTCCAATACGGCTTTTTATTCACCTGTTTTAACATCCCATATTCTGATGTTCTGATCTACACCTCCCGATACCAATAAAGTGCCATCATAAGAGAAGTATATTGTTTGAACATAAAAAGTATGACCATCTAACTTTGCTTTTTATTATCCTGTCTTAACATCAAATAAAAGTATGGCCTTATCATCACTACAAGATGCTAATAAATTACCATCAGGAGAAAAACAAACTGATTAAACCCATTTGGTATGAACTTTCAATTAATATTTTTATTATCTTGTCTCAACATCCCATAAAATGGTCTCATCTAGGCTGCCTGATGCTAATAATTTACCATCAGGAGAAAAGCAGACTGATTAGATATTATAAATATGACCATGTAATTTGGCTTTTTATTATCCAGTTTTGACATCCCATAAACCTATAGACTTATNTAATAAATCATACTCAAGAATCATAGATATGTTATTAACAAACAAGAAGAAAATGATTGTAATTTTAAATGTGTAATATTTTTTTTATAAACTTTTTCTCAATTTTATAACTCTTACAAATGATTTTCCAAAAAAAGACTACCTTTAAATTTTAAATATGATCTTAAATCTAGTCCTTAATAATTAAAGAATTCTCCTTTGTAAATTAAAGCACCCCAAGCCTAAAATATTGGTATTTTAGAAATGCGCAGAATAGTTACATTATTTACTATAAAATATTAAAAAAGAATTACCTCGAAATTTTTTTTATAATTCAAGCAAATTCAATTTTACCTTTACTTCCTATCCATTTTAATCTGACTCTTCAATTTCAATGATATCTTTCACATCCCATAAACGAACAGACATATCATCACTGCAAGATGCTAACACAGCACCATTAGGAGAGAAGCACACTGAATTGATACAATTATAATGGCCTTTCAATGAGGCCCTTAGTTCTTATCTCTTAACATCCCATATATTGATATCTTGATCTAAACTACCAGAGGCCAATATAGTAGCATCAGGAGAGAAGCATAATGATCTTACCTGACGAATATGGCCAACTAACTTTGCTTTTTTTTATCCTGTCTTAACATCCCATAAAAGAATTGATTTGTCTGCACTACCGGATGCTAATATAGTATCATTAGGAGAGAAGCATACTGAATTAACACAACCATCATGACCTTCCAATACGGCTTTTTATTCACCTGTTTTAACATCCCATATTCTGATGTTCTGATCTACACCTCCCGATACCAATAAAGTGCCATCATAAGAGAAGTATATTGTTTGAACATAAAAAGTATGACCATCTAACTTTGCTTTTTATTATCCTGTCTTAACATCAAATAAAAGTATGGCCTTATCATCACTACAAGATGCTAATAAATTACCATCAGGAGAAAAACAAACTGATTAAACCCATTTGGTATGAACTTTCAATTAATATTTTTATTATCTTGTCTCAACATCCCATAAAATGGTCTCATCTAGGCTGCCTGATGCTAATAATTTACCATCAGGAGAAAAGCAGACTGATTAGATATTATAAATATGACCATGTAATTTGGCTTTTTATTATCCAGTTTTGACATCCCATAAACCTATAGACTTATCATCACTACAGGATGCTAATATACTACCATCAGGAGAGAAGCAAATTGAATTGATAGTATCATCATGACCTTCCAAATTTGGTTTTTCTAATGCTATCTTAACATCCCATAAGCCGATAGTAAGATCTAAACTACCAGAAGCTAATGTTTTGCCATCTGGAGAGAAGCTTATTGATGAGACTCCTTCAGAATGACCTTCCAATTTAGCTTTTTACTGTGCTGTCTTAACATCCCAAATTAGAATTGACTTATCCCAACTAGCCGACGCTAACATAGCGCCATCTGGGGAGAAGCAAACTTATAAAATAAAATCTTTATGGCCGATCAACTTAGCTTTTTATAATCCTGTCTTAAAATCCCAAATTGTGATAATTTTATCGTAACCTCCAGCTGCCAATGTAATACCATCAGGAGAGAAGACGACATTATTAACTTCAAATTCATGATCTAATTTTGATTTTTACTTTCCTGTTTCAGTATCCCATAAACGGACTGACCTATCTTCGCTGCTTGAAGCTAATGAAGTACCATCAGGAGAGTAGCAAACCGATAGTACAGCGTTGGTATGACCAACAAATTTTGATTTTTACTGTCCTGTTATGACATCCCATAAACGGATAGAGTTATCCTTACTACTAGATGCTAATGTAGCACTATCAGGTGAAAAGCACACTGAGCAAACAGTATTAGCGTGACCTTCCAATCTGGCCTTTTTTTATCCTGTCATAACATCCCATAAACGAATACACTTATCATTGCTACAGGATGCCAAAGTTTTACCATCAAGAGAGAAGGACACTTAATTGATCCAACCATAATGACCAAACAACTAGGCTTTTTCTTATCCTGTCTTCAAATCCCATAAACGTATAGACTTATCCAAACTACAAGAAGCCAATATAGAACCATCAGGTGAGAAGCATACTGATCTTACACAACCACTATGACCATCTAATCTATTAAATTGATTTATTCTAATGTTCTTCCAATTACACCTGAGTAATTAAGCTCCATTTAAATTTATGCCTGTTATATCTACGTTATTAAATTCAGATCCACTCAAATTGCATCTTAAAAAATTTGCCCCTACTAAAGATGTATTCTAAATCTTAATATCTTGAAATTATTAGTTTGTCATATCAATCTTCATTTTTACTAATAAATGAATTGCATTTGAACCACACTAGATCATTTACTCGTCTATAGCTGTTATGTGGACTAAAAATTTTAAAAATTCAATTATAGTATTATCCTCTCCTATTCTTTTAATGATATCCTATATTTTTGAACAATATATTTCAGCAGAATAATCATTTTTATTAAAGTCATGCTCATTAAGATTTCTGGTAACCTCTATGATTTTATTGGTGCTGCTATTTCCTAAAAGTTCATTAAGTTTTTGTTGAGTTTCATCCCTCCTTAGAAAATCTGAGATTTTCTCTTTTTTCAGCAGTTCAATAATTTAAGTGAAAATTTTTACTTCTATATCTTTTAACGAAGCTAAGAGATCAACAATGTCTTTTTCGATTTTTAAACCTTATCCTTCTTTTTGAATTGGTTGGATATTTAATTGTGTTTGCCCATTAAATGAAAAAATCTCTTTCATTTCTTATCTTATCTTTGTGATGAAATCCTTTACTTCTTTATCCAAAAAAATCTTTCCCTTTTCCAACAACTCAAAATAAGGATTCTTGTAAACATTCGAATAATTTAATGTTGTTCCTTCTGCAATTTGTACTAAATTGTCAAAGTCATTTTTTAAGAATTCTGCTAGGTTAATGGTTGTGTCGGTAATTATTTCATAAAATGATTTGTATTCCTATTCAATCTAATTGTATATTTCTTTGATTGATTATGATAATTCTTCGAAAATTTACTTCAGCAAACTTTCGGTTTGAGTAAGTAAAGATATCATTTTCATTTTCCTTTATTTTACTTCATGTGTTTCATAAAACTAATAATCTGTTAATTTCTTGCTAACTTTTTCTTTAAATATTTCAATCGAAACTAAATGTTTAAAATCTACTCCGTGTAGATATTAACATTTATTACAAAGTTTTCTTTATAATTTACACTCATGAGAAGCCATACATATCAAAGAGATTGGATTTTCTTTATGAAAAATACAATTCATTATTCTTTTATTATTGAATTTTGATTCCTTTAATTTAAGCTTTATACAACAAATAAAAATGTATCTTGTTAAGACTTTGTGTAAATTTGGAATTCGTTATAGTTGAAGTAATATACAGTATGAGGATTAAATTCTTCATTTGCATTGCTTGATTATTTAATAATATAGAATAACTAATTTTTATATGAATAATTTAATTTATTCTTGATTTGATGGTTGATTCATTTTTCTTGTTAATCATCTCTGTTTATGCATAATTATTGGTTGCTTAAAATATGCAAAATGTATGATTTAAAACTTGGATAAGTGAAATCGTTAGTAATAGAATTTAAAGTGAAAAAGTAGATCTATTCTAAGAGGTAATAATAAATATGAATAGTTTGTTATAGTAGTTCCCTAAATAGTCTTCTATTATTTACCTCTAGTGGCAGAGGGGGTAAGGTTATTACGTATGTCACCGGAGGAAATCGAGAAGAGAGAAAATTATAAGAAGAAGTTGATTGAAGGAGAAGATGAAAGAGGAGTAAAATGAGGAATTCACATCAAATCATTCTTGTAACATTTAATTTCTATTAATAAAGGATTAAATAAATATTTCCAAACTTTAATTATTAAAGTTTTTGAAAATATATTTAATTATTATTTTGTAATCATCACCATAATTTAACAAATATATGTGAACTCAATAATAAATATTATTAATTTTCTTCCTTTTACATTTTTAGTTAGTTCTTCTTTTTCAATTAATCTAATATTGAAGGGGGTTAATTAAATAATAGAGATGAATAATTAAATCATTTAAGCATTATTCATTATGGATATGTATAACAATACAAATAATTATTTCCTTTTTTATTTTTTTCCTTCGTCAATTTGCTTAAATAGACTTGCTTTTGAATTATATAATATATAATTTCTTAAAAAATTAATTTAAATGCAAAATTTAACTTATTGATGAGTTCATCAAAAAAATACAGTTTTTTAGTATTATAAAGTAATGAGGTATATTTTTTGTTGTCTACATTATCTCATTAATTTATAAATGTTTATTATTTAAAGTATGTAAAAATTTAAGTTGAGCTTAAGTTAATCGGGTATTAAGATTCTTAGATGGCGGTTAGAGAAGATATAATAAGTATTTCCGTACATCTTAATCCTTTTAATGGATATAATACTTCTTAATAATTAATGTATCTTTTCAGTCTTTTATACTATCTAGAACTTTTAATATTAATTGAAGAATAATAATCAAAGGTGATTGATATATTACTTTCAATATGAGAAATCATCCAATCTAATTGATTTAACTTTATTATAGTATAAATTATTTCTAAGATTAAATTTAATTTTTAAATATATTCTTGATGTATCTTATTTCTTATCTTTTGTTATAAAAAATATCTTTTACTATTTCTAAACTAATATTACAATAGTATTAATTCTTTTGTTATTCCTATAAATGACTGAAAAAGAATAAAACTTAAAAAAAATACTTTCTTATTTAGCTAAGACTAATCCCGCTTTTAATAGTAATAAATTATGTAAATCTATCTTATAATATCTTAGATGTTTTATAAAAGCATGTTTAAAGTAATTATGTCGATCTTTGTTTTAATCTCATCATTTACTGTTCTTTGTTTTAATTATTAATTTAATGTAGTATCATTTATAATTTAATCTCTATAAATATAAATTGATAATATTTTTTATGATTTTTAACTAAATAAAAGAAGTGAAGATGAAAAGTGAACCTAATAAAGAGAAAATTAAAAAAGAAAATTAGAAATTTATGGTAACAATAATTATAATAATAATAATTTTTGTTTAATAATGATCACTTATACTATATGTTTCCTAAAAAGTAACTTCCTTTAGATTTAAGTAAAGGTTTCAAATCTTTTCCTTAATGGTTTACAAATTCTCCTTATAAGATAAGCGTGCCTGATGCTT